ATGAAGTGGCAAGGTCAAGTTGTGAAGTATCTGAACAACTGATGCACAACTTTTGAGACTCCTACATAACCATCACGGTAGCATTTTCTCAGAGTAGACAGGATCATATCATGGCTAGTACGCCTTCGTTCCGGTATCATTCGCGATCCTCGTGAATCATGTCGGGTCACGCCGCAGAGCGCGACATCCAAGATGGAGGCCTCAACTTTGAGGAGGCATGTGCACATGTATCGGGTCAAGGTCCGGAAACCAAGCCCATCAAGTCGGATCGCGCCGTTTGTAGTTCAAATATCTGACCTCCCTATCCGTCATTTGGAAGCCTCACCAGCTAAGATCGAGCAGTTCGCAGACATTCTTATGGGATACTAGATTGACTTCGCACCTGGTATGTTCGACCAGATCTACAAGTTGGGCTATGATGGCAAGTATGGACAGCTCCCCAAACCGTTTTCTCTTGTGAAAGCGCCGCTTGTGCCGTACACAATCCAGTTCGTGATCCTGCCTGCCTCTGTGCCACAGGATGCCGATCCAAACCGTTCCTACCGTCACATCGTGGAGCACGTCTATCTGCGTCGCAACAAGCTCTCATCCAAGGGCTGTGCCGCCATGTGCGGGTGAACTCCTATGAGATTCGACTGGGGGAACAGTGTGCGCATTGGTCTTGGGAGCCCTGAACTATATGATGGACGGAATGGGCGGTCAACAACTACTTCATTGGATTATCAAGCCCGAATATGAGAAGGAGTTGACTATGGATCAACAACAATGCTCTGCAAGTTATGAGTTCATCCGCAACTGGAAAATTGGCCAGAATCCAAGGCGAAAGAAGCCCTTTCGAACTACATGAAAGGCAGGCTGAGTGCCAAGACCTTTGAGTTCTGGCCCTTCACGCTCAAGACGTTCATCCCGCGGTTTCTGAACCGTGTGCTCACCCCTATGTTGCCAACCATGCGGCGGCATGCGATTACGTGGATTGGTAGAACAAGAACTGGGAAATCTCTTGGTTAAGAAAACCATTGTGTTCATGCAGTCCGAGTATGAAATCAACAAAGCGAGGAACCGCACCGAGTTCTTCGCAGTCCTTCGTCACAATCAAGTTCGCGATGTTGAAGGCCTACCAGACACAGCAGCTACTCGTGCTCTGTTGGCATGCCAGGCTCTGCGGCTAGTACTTCCACAACGCGTTTGCGGTCACCGCGATACCCCGCTACAAGCTCTAATTCAAGTCGGGTAGACATAGATGGACTGGTCCCCGATAGTATTCGGCTACCTCCATTGGCTTGCTCTCCCAAGTACAGCAGCACATGTGGATGAGCAAGCTTTACCGCTTCACAATGTGGATCTTTGAGCACATCCAACTGCCCATGACAAAGGGCAAATTCAATCCGGCTTTGAGGGTGCCATCTTCACGAAAGTTATGAAAGGCAAACCCGACCCCACGCGGAGACCGGTTTGCACAACAAAGAAACTTTTTATTATAGACGTCTACATTGAAGCGGCCTTCTTCCTCGTCAATCCGAAAGCAGCCTTCAGGTGTTAACAAGCTACATCTGAAAAACTCTGGTAGTTCTCGCATATTCATCGCATACGAGACTCACTTGAACAAAAGGAACCCACACATGTTGGTTCAAAGCGGCCGTCCACAGCGAGACCATGTATGGCTCTGGGGTGCTGTCCTACAAGGTCACTTGAAGTCCCACTTCATCTTCCGTGTCCTGAAACATCATGAAGCAGCCTTCGATGGCAAACCTCGCGGCCACAAGGAAATGCTGCATAATATTTATTAACCTCCTGGGTCTTCGTTAAAGGAAACAGTTTCGTAAGTGACAGGTGGCGTGCCACGTTGTCGGCTGTCAAAGCATTTCGCAAAAACCACAGTCTCACTGAGAGCCAGCTGCGTCATGAAACTGTTAATCATTCCGCTGGTGAAATCGTGAATAGCAATAGCTTCAGTGCGAATGCTATCGAGTGCAAGTGGTCGGTAATAAAGAAATGGATCAGACACAAAATGGCTGGCATTCTCCGGGCACACTCTGACCGTACGAAGTGCTCCTTGCTGATTGACGAGTTCCAAGCAAGGTCAATGTTGAAAACACTGGCAGCTCAATTGTTTGATAAAAGCAATATGCATGTCGTTCGTTTTCATGATTTCGTCAAACTTTTCCAGGTTGCGTGATGCTTCACAGTCACTTTTCGGATCCTGCAGCTCATCGCTTCAGTGAAATGGAAACATCACCGTCTTGCGTGCACGTCTCGCAGTAGATTGTGTTCCACCGCATACAAACGCTTTACCGCTGTTCGTTCTGTTATGCTCAAGAGACATGTGCTAGCATGGACGACATGGCACCATGTGCATGAAGCCGAAACGCAGCGGTCACCTTCAGGCTTTGAACTATATTTTGATAATGAATAATCAATACAGTGATACAGTGTATATCAAAACTATTGAAGTTATTGAGGCTGTTCAAGCGGAAGTAATAAAAGACAAAGAACTCGAAGATGTTATACTTTAACAATGGAAATACTTAAAACAGAAATTCAATGTTATAAAAATGCTAAGAATAAAATTACTGAGAAAAATACTAACAAATTATCTAAAAAATGTATGCCAGTTTGACAGATAGTGCCCCCAGACACTGCGCAGTTTGCAACTACCATACGAGTAAGCGCATCAACAGAGTGTTGAAATGGTCTAATGAACTTGTTTCGTGCTTCTGGAAGACGGAGAAGAAAATCCCCAGTGAAAGATCCCTCGACACATGTTCTAATATTTAATTAAAATATTAGAAAACTTTAAATTAGTCTAACTACGTCTACAGCCTTGACTTTTTTTATATATCAAGATGGAAAGGAGAGTATGTAAATCGTGCTGTGCGTCTAAAGATGTTGAAGAGTTTGACGGTTTTTTCTTGTACGCGGTGCCGTGCAGCAAAAAGACAATGTTACAAGAAAAATCACAAAGAATACAACCAAGCAAGAAGAGAGGAAAGGGCACAGGGGAGCCAATCATGCGAAGAATGCGGACACAAAATAAAACACGAAAACAGGGATGCCCATTTCCATTATGCTTTACATCCGAACTCGGAACTAAATATATTGATGAAAGGTTATTTGACGCAGTTAGGCAACGTAAGGAAACAAAGCAAACTAAACAATGAAATACAAGCAGACATTAGGCTGAATACGAAAAACAGAAAAGGGAAATACGCAAACGATTAAACTAACAATTTCCTAACAAATTTGCTGATGAAGAACTCGATGTTTCGTGTAGCATACGCCAGCCACATCGTGAATCCCAGAAACCTAACCTGATATTGTTAAAGTGTTTAAGCATGTCCACCAGCTACTAATGAACGATGAGCCTTGGGAAGATTACTTTATGCTGTTGGGTAAGCACAAAAACAGAATAGTTATTACGATTTCAGTTGATAAGTCATAAGTATAATGTAATTAAAATCCTTAAGTTGTTATGGCTTGTCACTATATTATGGTTTTACCTTATTCCTAAACCTTGTTATCTATATAGATATTTTATTTTTATTAGAGATCAAGTTTTAGGGATTTCGGGTTGGGGAATACAGTTTATCTATGAGGGTATTGGTGTATGGGGTTTAGGTCGGGTTTTTTCTATGGCGTTGGGCATGGTTCCATCGTATGGGCTTTGTCATGTGGGTCTTGGTGTGGGTCTTTCGGTGGTTCCATGGGTGAGGATGGGTGAGGTATAGGGTGTTGTGGTTTGGGTGCTAGGGGGGTTGCATGATTAGAAAATGGAGATGGTCATTGCTAGCTTAAGACAGGTAACAAAACTAGTAAAGTTCAAATAAAACAGAAGCTCCTTAAACATGCTGAAGACAGATTGAAATGGTGCGAACAAACTTAAACATTCTTTGAACGACTTTCAACGGTTTGTATAACACAAATCAATACACAGAGAGAGAATAGTCCACCACGATGGCGACATAGGTGATGAAGAACTGGCAGCAGTGGGCACGAACATCTGGTCACTCATCAGGTGCTCTCTCGCTGAGGCTGCATGAGAACACCCAGAATGGGAGGTCCGGTAGCGTATTTGCAGGTGCCACTGGCTTTGGCGGGACACACTAAGATGCAGTCGGTAACGGCGACGTGCACGGTTAAGTTTGATTGGCCACTGGACTGGCGCTCGCCAAGCATGCGTTGGTCTTGCAGCCAAGGCTCGTGTACCGATTTAGTTTACGGTTCCAGATCTGCTTGCTCCGCATCCTCGTACTGTCTTCGAATGACGAACACACGAAAGTGAGCTCACCCAACTCTCGACCAACCGTGGTGCCACTCTGCCTACAAGAAAAAAACCACTGACCACTCCGCCTTGCATCTCACCCTCGCTTCGAAACATCAGACAAAACACCTCTTGACAGCATCCTGCCGAAAGGCAAAACACCGGGTGGTACCCTGCCTTCCATATCACCTTTGCCGGTGGTTGAAACATCAGGCAGAATACCGCTCGAGAGACAGGAGCCTTATCTAGCTGCAATACAGACACAAATAAGTAAATAGACAAGGCTACACCAAGAAAGGCGCATGCATCAGCGCACACACACAGAGCTATCACATGAGTCAGCTACACTGACTGAGCCACCCGCTGTGTCAGTTCTGGGGAGCTCCATTAATGACCATGACAGTCTAGAAGATCATGAAGACAAGGAAGACTAATCCAACATCCAACCCACCCTGTTCACGTTGCTGGCAGCTTTCGGACGAAGCATATCTATTTGTGTGGAAGATCCACTGTCTTGACGGGCACCCAGCACGCGAAGTCGCCCCGTTCCATTAAGAGCAAAACTCATAAGACAGCTGGACCAGTGTTGAAAAGACGAATAGATACAACAGAAACGAATGAACAGAACAAAGGCGAATCAGCTGAAGCAAACAGCAACAGCCGTGAGTTCAAGTTTTTGATGGTCGTAGAACACCACATCCGAGCAATGATATAAAACCGTTCTAGGACCCTGACCCCTGGCCTCCTGGCTGCTCATGGCCATGATAACGCCAACTTTCGGACGCTCAGACACCTGGGCGCCCGATCTTGTAGTCTTGGGCTTTGTTTATGGGCCTTCATGATTAGAACCCTCAATATATCAGAATGCATATTACAATGCAGTTTCATAGCGTTGAAACGGGTGTTGTTGAAGCCTGAATCACAAAACGAGGAAGGGAGGTTTACATTATGACTTCATGAGGAACATGAGGGAAACGCATTACGAAGCATGCAGGCCTACGTTTATATATACCTTGGGGCTTCAGATTCAGGGGGGTTAAAATGCAAAAGTCTTTGGTGGCTAAGGTTTAGGGTTTAAAAGGAGTTGACAGTTTCAACGGGCCCGAAAGACAACACACGTAGACAATTCATCTTGCATTTGGGGCAGAAGCTTACCGTCTGCTGTCTTTTGTGCGCCTTGTCGGACCTTGAACTTTGCGGTTTTAATTTTTGAGGCTCAAGGTCTACGGTGCCGGTGCAGGGTTTAGGGCCTGGGAACTGGCAATAAGGTTTTGGAAGAAAATGTCCCTATGTGGGCCCCTACATCATTGACCCCCCGAGAAAACCTTCCCCCATAAACGCTTTAATCCGTCGAAACCTGGATCCTTGAATTCCCGCGTAGGGTCTCCTACCCATGCACGCGACTCCTGCAGCGCATCGGAGGCCAACACGTGCGCCTTTTCATGTCAGAGAGGAGGAGGGTTTGGGGCGCCTTGTGTACAAAGATGCGCGGAATGTCGGTATGTATTCATGCCCCTCTGCATGAGAGTTTCAACTAGTGTATTCGGAAGGGTTTCGCGGCGCGGCACTCTGGGAAGAGTCGCTGACCCGGGTTTAAAGAGACCTATATAAGCCCCCTCTTTAGCAACACGCCGCATGGGTGAAGAAGCGAGGGGAGTCACAAGGCGTCGAACTCACCACGCGTGTCCCTTGTCTGGCACGACCGGCAGCTAGCCTGCACAAAACCGCCAGGATACCCAGGAATTACCGCTTAGGTTCATGGCATTTGACACAGTTTCGGCTCAAGATCTCGATGTGCGATACGACTTCGAACCTAGCACCTGGGGAAGCATCGGGTGTGACGGCCAGTTCGGCTGAGCTTGCTACAAACACTATATACCGTTTGGCGTGTAGTGCGTGTATACCGTATACACTCGAAACCCTGGCCCTACACGCTGGAAGCCCCAAATGCTCAAGATTCCTTGGACATGGGTTTACGGATTGTTCATCCGACCAATGAAACTGCCCCCTCCGACCCTGAAGCAGGTTCGGGCGTATAGCTTCTGGGGTTTTGGGCCGGTTTGAGATTTCGACTGTCACACTCGCGCAAGGCTCCACACAATCCAAGCTCAATCTAAGAGCGACCGAGCGACGACCCACCAAGTACTATACCACAACCCAATAGCTTCACAACCAAAAATAACTGGGATCTAGGGTTTGGGCTTGAGGGTTTGGGGTTCAGGGGTTTAAGCTAAAGTTGATTCTTGAGGGTCTCGGGGTAGCACGGCTTTTATGCACGCACCCGACTCTGAAGCCCAAACACGGGTGAGGGAGCTGCCTTTTGCAGCAGCGTGAACACCGGCAGAGACAGCAGAAACGAAACAGCATCATATATCTACAGTAATACAGAGACAGTGGGTAAACAGAAGTCTTGCCAGCAGCCACAAAGCAATAGTAGACTGGTTCTACATATACAGATACATCTAGTACAGGCAGCAAAGAACGGACGGCAATGGGCAGGACAGCATGTCTTGTAAGGACATCAGTTTTTGCCCTTTGGGCTTCGCAAAAGGTTTCACAAGGCCTGAGCCATACGAATATGTACACGTAAGGTCATGATGAACAGTGCATAGTGCATGTCCGCAGCGCTAGAGTCCCCAAAACCCTAAAAACACTTTCAACAACGGTGTATACAGCACTGAAAAGTGGTTTCACACACTAAGTGCCAGGCCGCCCGCGGCACCAAATCTCGAAGCCTTGTCTAGCTACTTTGCAGGGAGGTTCCGGGGTGTAGGGCAGTGTGATGAAGGCCGAAGACTTCTCTGAAATATTGCCTTTCAGGACGGCAGCCCTCCCGCCTCGTCCCTCCGCTCAGAGGCTTTCGCAATCAAGCCACGAAGTGCACTGAAACCCAGCAGCTCGACCGGAAAAGTTACGATGGATAGTTCTGAAACTTGACAGCAGAACTTATCCCAATGGTCATGCCTACAAGCGGAAGGTAGACCTAAAAGGGGCACGACAGTCTGGAATCAGCACCGTCATTTCGGGGAACGTCTTGGGGCTTTGGGCCGACTAGACTCGACGAAACATGGATCTAATCCCAACTGACTGAGGTACATAGAACTCTTGCTGCAACTACCCACCGCGTGTTTAAAGCACCTTGCAGCTAGGGAATTAGGGTTCTGTGTTGACTGTAAGCTGTAGGTTTAGGGTTTAACATGAGCATATCACGAGCCGTGACAAACGTGAAGCTCAAATCAAAAGAGTTCGAGCGCCGGAGCCCATCAAGGCCTTCGGGTAGACCTCTAACATGGCTACGGTGGCTCTTTGTATAATTTTTTTAAGGTACAGTCGAACAACACAGTGGGCGGAAAAGAACTGTTTGTTTCCGAGGATCGTATAGCAGACCAATCAATCCGACGAAGGGATTAGGGTTTTCGGGTTTTCCCTCCCTCCCTCCCTCCCTC